TAAGAGCTGTTGTGAGAGGTGCCGGAGGATTGTTAGTGTGAAGGGGCACACAATTTATCCTGTGTAACACAACAGCCATCGTGTTGATGTAGCAGACATTACTGCGAGGCAGTCATTAAAGCTCAGCGTCTCATGGGGATGCTGTGTTTAAGCTGTAATTGCTATCAGCATCAACACAAACAAACCTTTTCAGAGGCATCAGTGTTAATCTGAGCAGTTTTTGCTGGTGTCTTATTGCTGTTCAACAATAAAAAAGATTTATTGCAAAAAGCTGAAAAATACCTTTAAACAAATCAGACTAAGGGGCTTCACTACACAGTGTTAGTAAGTAATATTAGAGAGTGACTTAGTACAGAGGCAAGATGTTGGTATAGGGAAAGGCTTAAGAAAACAATACTCCTGCAAACAACATCATTTTGTCATTCAAATCACACATCATAACTGTGTTTCTCTCATGCACCCATCTTAAACCTATAATGTGTGCAGTGCAGTGAAACACATTTTGATCAGTGTAATTTGATCTATCCAATGCCATTCTTTCTGCAACTGCCCCGTAATCTACAACCATTTTATATCATTATTTATGAACCCAGAGAATCCAAATATTGCGTCTCTGTTTATTTGGATACAAGAATGGATTTTCATTTTATGCCCAGAAAATAATTAATGCTGGTGGCGGTATGGGTTCCTTCACCCCTCTCTGAGACTGTGACCGTGTAATTAGCTTGAGTGTTGATAAAAACCCACCAGGGAAAGCAGATGGAAAGCAGAATGAGACAGAGGAGAGATAAGTGGAAGTTCTCAAGACAAACCATAGTCAGGACTTAAGGACTCCAGGGACACATCTGATTTTAATCAGTGGCTGATTGAAAAACAAGCCACTTGAAAGAAAAGCAGCACAACATTTATAACTTCATGAAGGATACTGAGAATACTGTTATTGAAAAAAAAAAAAAGAAAAAAAAAACTGCCTAAAAATAATCTAAAATCATGTTAACCTGGGATAAAGTTAGTTTCACAATTAAAGATTTTACATCTATATCAAACAGCACCTGTGTCAAATATTCTATGAAAAATTGGGGAAAATAGTACCTACATGGCATATTTTCCTTCTGAGGCATTTCACCATTCATCAGTTGTCTGAAGGCAGGCATATCCTGGTATTGTAGCGCAACTTGGTCATTTTTACCTGCATTGAAATAGGCCTACAACATGAAAATTCAAATTTGCTGTAACAGAAAAGGCTAGACTCAGTAGTTTTTAGTTTTAACATAAAAATTTCACTCAGGATACCCACATAATGTCACACATAATGTCACAACCTGACATCTGCAGGAAGACGGCACTGCAATGCAATAAATATTCAATACGATTTTTCAGACCTGATAAACAACCCTGCCATTACTGAGACGGATAGCTCAGGAATACAAAGAATAATCTGATGTCTGGACCATAAATATAAGAAAAAAACACATTAGACAGGAAATTTGGCTTGGTTGTAAAAAAAAAAGTTAGGGTATAGCATTTGTCTTTTCTCATTGGTATGACGCATTTTTAAAGAGACTGAGGCAGATGGAGCATGTATTGAAATAACTGCATTACAATAACATTTCTGTGCTGTTTTTGCTTTTGACTGTCAATTGATAGCCTACTAAGCAGAGGCGGACAGTAACTAAGTACATTTACTTGAGTATTGTACTTAAGTACACTTTTTGATTATTGGTACTTTACTTGAGTATTATTTTTTCTGGGAACTTATGGCTTTAACTTCACTACATTTGAAAGACAAATATTGTACTTTTCACTCCACTACATTTCTATACTTTTGGTACTTAAGTACTTTTAAAAGCAAGTACTTCGGTACTTTTACTTAAGTAAAAATCTGTCTTTACAACTTTTACTTGTAATGGAGTAATATTTGACCAGCAGTATCTGTACTTTCACTCAAGTAATGGAGTTGAGTACTTTGTCCGCCTCTGCTACTAAGTGAAAACACTCAAGTGAAACACCAATTTATTGCAGGACTCGTGGCTAAAAGAAGCTGTTTAGTTTGTGCAGATATAAAGCAAAGAAAAAAAAGGTGACACTGCTCTTATGATAACATTTTTGACACGGTGACAAATGCCATTAAACATTCTAAAATGAATGAATGAATGAATGAATGAATGAATAAAAAAAAACTAAATCTATTTAAACTTTGCTGAATTTTGAATAATGTGATAATTTGAGACTGCCATATCTAAGCTAGACTTTAAAAATATACTTTTTTTTTACTTAAAAATTTAATTAATTTCATTTAAATTAAATGTTAACATTGTTAACAACCAATGATCCAGTGACAGGATTGACTAAGCAGTGACACAGTCAATAACAGTTTCCCTGTCCTTCAGTATCCATTACAAGCAAAGACAAAGGCTCCACAGAGAACAAAAACAATAAAAGGCTATGACATAACTATTGATTAAAATGACACTATCTTTTTCTCTCTCTCTCCCTCCCTCTCTCTCTCTCTCTCTCACACACACACACACACACACACACACACAGAAAGACTCATGAACGCACTTGGCTTTCTAATACTCACACCAGGAGTTGTTTATCTCCCTTTGCAGACACAGCTGAATGTCTGTGATTATCTGAATGCAGGTCAGTGGTGGCACACCTCTGTGGTTTCAGGCTGGAGCGGAGATTAATGAAGCTGCCAGGGGCACAAAACTAATTTTCATGTAAACTGTTGATTACACATTCCTTGAAATTAATATGCAACCTCAGAAAAAAGGTACAAAGCTGTCACTGGGGCAGTACTCTTTCAAACTTTTCATACTTTTTGCAATCTCATGTCATAATTGCTATTCAGACCCCTGTATAAAAGTTGATCAGATTATTAAATTAATCTGAAATGATTGAATTTCCATATAATTAATCAATGTCTGAGAATAAAGAACATTAGTTATGCACTTTTGCACCTCTATTTGAATCTTTCACAGCAGCTCATTCATGCCATCATAAAACCACTTTTATGTAGAGTAAGGTCTAAATCATTTAGGCTTATGACCCCATTCAAGTCATCAAACATCTTCCTTTGAAATGAAGAATGGAAGTCAAAGCTGTGACACTAGGCATAATTATAGGTATAGCTCCCCAGGTTCAGTATCTGGGATAGTCCATGTAGTAGGCTAATTGCACTTTAAAGGGTTAGTTCACCCAAAAATTAAAATTCTGTCATTAATTACTCACCCTCATGTCGTTCCAAACCCGTAAGACCTTCGTTCATCTTCGGAACACAAATTAAGATATTTTTGATGAATTCCGAGAGCTCTCTGACCCTCCCATAGACAGCAAGGGTCCTTACACGATCAAGCTCCAGAAACGTAGCAAGGAGATCGCTAAAATAATCCATGTGACATCAGTGGTTCAACCGTAAATTTATGAAGCTGTGAGAATACTTTTTGTGCACAAAGAAAACAAAAATA